ACGGGTGCGGATCTAGAGGTCAGATCCTTCATGATCTAAATTTAAAGATTCGAGGGTACGGATACGGGTGCGGGGATTTGGTTAAAAATAATTCAATTATTTAAAAATAGAGTTATAAAAATATGTCTAAATTATGAGACATTATGTGGAAAACTTACAAGGTATTCCGAGAAGGAGAAAATATTGAACAAGAGTAGAATTTTAGAAGGAGATAAAAGGAAAAGGATTGACATAGAAATTTATATATACAAGGTATTCGATTTTCTTCCATATCACCCTAGCTTTTGATTTGTTTTCAAAAATCATTGTATTTGTCCCAAATTTCTCCGTTGATTTTGGTCACAGTACCCAAAATCGGTTGACCAGATCCGACACGGATCCCACACCCACACCCACGTCGTGTCGACACGGGTGCGGCATTGAAAGTGAAGAATCCGACCAACTTAGTTTATAATGCTTAGTCATTGTAAAAATTATAGCTTCCCAGGTATTAGTTTCACTGATCTCAGTTTCACTGATCTCGATTATATCGTCATTTTGATTTTGTAAAAAAACAATGCTTCAGAGCCTTCTAGACTATGGTTCATAAAAAATATAACACAATAAGTTTGAATCTTCCTTATGGGTAAAGACTAGGGGATCTTATTATGGGCTGCTCGGTAACATGTTGTGCATCCTGGGGTCTTGGATCAACAAAGGCACCTCGAAAAAAGGAAAAGAAAATGCAGAAAAGAAGAGGACCCCCTCCCTCCTGCAAATGAAAAAGAAAACTAAGAAAAAAAGGATAAAGTTCATGAACAAGTATAAGAAAAAGAAATAGTCAAGAGAGGAAGAGCGATGGCAAGGATGACTAACAGAGATGGGAGGCAAATTTATGGGAGGCAAGGTGACTAAGATGGATTAGGGGAGGCGTAGTTCCGGCACAAGGTAAAGAAGACAAAAGAGAAGACACTGATGGTAAGGGGATTGTTTTGGGGAGGGGGAGGGGGGACATGGTGACCAGATGGTTGCTGGGGTAGTTAACACTCACAGGAGGTCATTGGGAGAATGCGGATAGCTGGAGCTGAGAGGAAGAAAAAGGAAGAAGCGAATTGGGAAAAATAGATCATCAGTGATAATTGTATTGGGCCAATACTATTGGCAGATAAAATGGCCCCTTTTCATCAAACTTAGAGAGAATATCAGAGCATTTTAATACCACTAACCAGGGGCAAAATACTCCTAGAAATGGCGGAAAACAAATCTAGTTTGTAGATCCAATCCAAACTTAGTTTAGTAATTATGTGATAATTTTAATCAAGCATTGGTCAATTTCCTAAAGTCTATCAAACATCTTAATATTTTTATATGACAGTCACTAAATAAATTAAGAATGAAACTATCTACCACAAAAAATAAACAGAATTTAAACCAGCATTAGCATAAGTGCAAGCATATTATGTTGAAAACAATCTGGGGTACCTCGAATCCTTGACTAAGAGCTACATCAATTATGCTCTTTCGTGTAATACCAGGTAGAATTGTCCCTTTAATTGCAGGAGTTACTATCAGATTACCCTGGAAACATGGTATCAAATAACATAGTTGCCTTCATTAATATGACAGTTTCATATCGATTTAAGTAAAGAGATTGTTCAGAGAACTCATAGTTACATATATCCATGTGCAACAAACAAATAAATAAAATAATCCCTTGTTCCAATTTGTTTGGCATAGTTTTACACAAAGTTAAAAAGAAAATGGAATCTTAAAACTTTTGGTCTTAAAGAACATTTGTGTGGCAATAAGATTTTTGAAACTAGTGGTCTTAAACATGCCATCACATTTTTGTAGCTATAAAAGCTTCTTATTAAAGGTAAAATGAATTTTAAAATTGACTGTTTCCAAATATTGAAATATACCAATTTTTTAGGAGAGAATAACAAGGAAATAATGCTAAACAATTGGAACACAGGGAGTAATAATAATAAGTCCTATGCAAATCTTTGAGAAAGCTTAAAAAAAAGATTTTGTGTAGATAAAAGTCGAAAAAGATTTTGCACACAAGAATCCTAAGATCTCTTTTTTTGGGTGATCAGTAGAGACAATTCTTCTCTAGACTACCAGAAGATTAAATTGATTAACAAATCCACAGAATATTAGCTCACATATTAATAAGACATTATCTTCTACAAAACCAAGTCTAAGTGTAAAAATAGAACGTATGTATCAAGGGTTGAACTTTCAAATACAAGAACCAAAACTTATGAAAAGATTGTGATAACTGAAAAGCTAAGACATTACAAAAGTCCATCTATTAGCAGAAAACCCACATGTTCATAATTAAGACAAAAAGAATAAAGGTAAAAGGCATAAAAGAATTTTTTGCAAGAACATATTCAGAAAGAAATTTTTTGTCTTCTCTATCGAAAATAAAGTTCTTATGTCATTGGTTACTTCTACAAAACCAGTATCACATTCTCATTCAGGCACCACAAAATATCTTACAAGGAGGACACGGAGTATTGGCCTAACTTTATACCTTCACAATAAAGACATTGCAAGAGGAAACCTCTTCTAGGTATCTTTTCTGAACACTATCGAGGTACAAAACATCGGAATAGCCTTTTGCTTTAGCAGCACTCTGTGCCTTCAGAACCTACAGTTAAAACCCAAAGATGAAAATGAATCATCAAGGATGGCAGACTTGATAAAATTTCAACAATTAGTGAACGGTGCAAGTAGCATTTCTTCCCATGAATCCATCTCGCTCCTTAAGCCGAGGGTCTATCGGAAACGGTCTATCTCCCTTTAAAGGGTAGGGGTAAGGCTGCGTACCCACTACCCTCCCCAGACCCCTAGTATGGGATTATGCTGGGTTTATTGTTGTTGTTGTTGAATCCATCTCGCATTTCTTTTTACATATGTGTAGGCAAAAACTAGATTAATGTTCTTCACCTTTGATACATGTGAAGTAATGACATGAAGTGTAGTCCAAAATACATGAAGGAACTCCAGTTAGGTCAATTGCGTAAGAATTCAAACAATTCTTAGAAAATGACTTCACAAACTTGTTAAGAGAGATATCGAAGTGTAAGGGGAAAACTAATTGCAAAATATTTGATCATATCTTTGTGAAATACAAAAAGATGAGGATGACATAAAGAAGCTCAAGTGGGAACTCATGGTTGTTAATTCTTGTGAATCTCTATGAAGAAAATGTAACTAAGGGCTAAGGCTACAATTAAGGCGTTTGGCAGATAAATTTGTGCTTTACTCAAACAAATATTCTAATAAACTAAAGCTCCACAAGGATAGCTTACTGCAGCATAATTTCCAACAGTCTTGACGCCTCCGGTACCACCAGGGGTTGCGCGGTGCATTTCAGTCTCAACTACCAAATTTATTGGTGCCAAACCTTCCTGCGGACAAAGAAAAAAGGGAAACAGATGAGCAGAGAGAGGGACCTGCCATATAACATGATTATCAAAAGGTTTGAAAAATAAGCATGATTGTTGTAAAATTTTCATGTTTATTTTTCAAACCTTTTGATAATAAACAACAAAACTACAATCCTCCAGTCCTTTCTAAATTCTGGACCATGGACACCATCCTCTTTTGTGTTTTAGGTTGTGAGATTGTCTTGCAGTCAATTTTTTTTTACATTCGTACAACTTTTCAAAAGATTTAAAAAAATAGTAACTTATTTTTACTTTTGTATAAGTATCTAAGTTGTTCCAGTAACTGCTGTTGAGATACCTCCCCTTTTCTCAGTCCCAAATTATTTGCTAAAATCCATCATGTCAAGGACTTATATACCACACTCAAAGTTTCAAGATCTCATAGCTAGTTGAAGGTATTCCAATGACTAATGAGATATATCATAGTAAAAGTTAACTATTTTGATATAACTTACACTCCGACATTGTAACTCTATCTTTTCTCATGATACTCAGTCAGCAATTATCAAACTAACGAAGACAGTTTAACTACATTTCAAAAATTTAATAGTCTGAGCTGTACTTCGAATATTGACATGCAGAAGCTAGTTTTTTTATAGGCAGAAGCAAGCACTAAAAAGAGAAGATACACTGAGACCAGACTGATATTGTAACTCTAGCTTTTCTCATGATGCTCACTTAGCAATTATCAAATAAAAAAGATAGTTTAACTACATATCAAACATTTAATAGTCTGAGCTGTATTTCAAATATTGACATGCAGAAACTAGAGTCTTTATTGGCAGAAGCAAGCACTAAAAGGAGAAGGTACACTAAAACCAGTAATAAGCATGGATCAGAAAAACCAAGGATCCAGAAAAAATACCTTGAAATAATTTCCAACAGGAGATACATAAATCAGAAATGTGTACTCAGGAGCCGGTGCAAGACCAAGGACAGCTCCACTCCCCATAAGCAGAGGTCTTATGTACAATGAACCTTTTCCTGGAGGAGGAATCTGAAGTAAGCAAAGAAAAAAGGATTTAGTGGGCGCACGAGTCACTCAATAACATAATTTTTAATTAAAGAGAAGTAACACATTACCCATCTTTCATTTGCTAAAACAGTGGCTTTTACTGCTTCCACAAACTGTTCAACAGACGGTGAAGGCATACACATGCGTTCAGCACCCATCTTCAAGCGCATTGCATTTTCCTCAGGTCGAAACAACAATATATTGCCATCATGTTTTCGATATGCTTTTAAACCTTCGAACAATCCCTGTTAATATTTCCAATAGAATTTTTAGTGACTCTGACACATGAAGTGAATCAGTAACCATTCAAATGAGTAACAAAGAAGAAATATATTTAAGAATAAGAAAGGTTTCGTGAGATACTGTCATAATACAAAAGGATAAAAACTAACCTGTCCATAATTTAATATTCCAGCAGATGGGCTCAATTCAATGTTACCGAAACGCTGTAATTCACCCTTAGAAAAGTTTTCACCTTGCGAACATTTCATGACATACATATAATCAGTAGGCATAAAGCCAAACCCAAGGTTGTCCCAATCAATGTCGGCCAATTCAGATGTTATGTTGCTGTTATAAAAACAAAGATCTTATCAGTTATGTGGAAAGCAATATACAAGTAATGCAAAAGATGTAGAGCCACTTCACAGATCGTCTGTAAATTAAATAACTGTATGACCCACATGGAAACTGCATTTGACTAAGTCCGCGAGCTCTACCAAGAAGTTTTTTTTTTCTCTTTTTAATTGATGCATTCTGATGGTACTTGCATTGGAGGAAGTAATCACTTCCCTTTCACACTGTAAATAGCATTCCATGACACCGTTGTCCTTCAGATAATTGATTAATATGTTAAGGCATTTCTGTTCTTCAAAAACGTATAATCTTAGACATCTAGAATGACTAGCCTATGATGCTAGAGTTTTAAGGTTAAGGAAACTAAGTAGAATGTTTTAAGATCAAGCCCCCTGAAAGTAAAAGAATTTTTTTTTATCAAGCCCCTGAAAGTATAAGATTCTATGCAAGTTTGTTCAGGTCATGTGTCACTAGTTCATAGTAGTGAGCATTTTTTTCATAAGTTGATAGCTTAATTACTACCACCACTGGTTGTGTGAAAGGACAAGAAAATAGTTACTAACATATTCCAAGTTCAATCTCTCTCTCTAAAATAAATCATGAGTATAGAAGAAGGCAAAAGTGGCAAAAGAGAAGTAGCATCATTGTGTAATTTTTGTTGTCACCTAAATGCAGCTGAGAGCAGAACGGTCCTAAAAGTTTCTACATGTTGCCAGGTTCTGCTCAATGTAGGTACCTAAATGCAGATGGGGAACAGACAAGACCAAAAAGATCTCTAAATTCTCTATCAACAATTTGTCACATGAACCTGATTCTATTTCCTTAATCTAGAGTATTCTACGGTCATGCACCATTAAAAAGTAGTAATTGCCAATTACACACACGATACAACACAATTAGGATTCAGTATATATGCTTTAAGAGCAGGACATCTGAATACTAAAATTAAAAGAAATAGAAGCCGACAGAAAAAAGCAAAAATACCTTGCCGGAGATGCCACACGAAGTGTATTTCCATTGTTTATGGCGTTATCATTAATGCAAGAAGCATAATGCGACTGCTTCTGAAGCTGCAATACAAATTTCAACACACAAAATTAACCAAATCTACACGAATGAGCCAATCTAAACACAAACCATAGGCATGCACGGATTTATGTAGCCACGTACACATTAGCTAACAACAAACAAACACGTATCCATTAACCATCAACAAGTTCAATCGAAACCCACGAGTAAACGACATTTCAATAGCTGAGAAGAAAAGAAAAAAGAACCTTGAGAGGAAGAGGACAAAAGTGGTGTTTATCGGTGACAGGAGGAGGAAGAAGCTTAATAGCACTTCGTGATGGAGCAAGAAGGTGGTGATGGTGGCCGGGATTAGGCTGAAGGCCGGCGAACACGGCGGCGCTCTCCATTTATTATCCTTGTGTTATCTCTATGCACGGCCTCCTTGCTCCGGCGTTGAAAATTAACAGATGTATTTTGGTAAAGACTGTTATAAAAAAATGTGTCTGCTGTTATATTTGGTGACTTATGCTTTTTACATATCTATCCAATATTGACTAGACCACGCCAATCATAAAAATTAATTCGTAGTATGGTTTATTAAACCCTAGTTTGAATATGCTAAATGTACAACGAGTGGATCAGGCCGTTCCTTAAAAAGCTAATAATTGTAACATGTTAAGTCTATAGCATTTATTTATTTATTTATTTGTTGGGAATAGGCGTCGGTTAGCCTGTGGGGGTCCATCTTTAAGTGAACCGGATCACCAGATGCTTCAGCGGGCCAACTGGGGATTATGGGCCTTTTACAGTCACAGGCCCACTGTAAAGGCCCAATACTACTTTCTACCTAATAAGCTAGCGATACAGTGTTTTTCCATAGATTAAAGTCAAATAATTAAAACTCATGTTTACTGTCTTAAGCATTGGAATGGCTGACATCTCATGCTTTAAAGCTTAGCTCTTTTGTTATACTTAGTTGTGTGTTCCAATTTCATTGTATTCATAAAAATGATTTTTGTACCGAAAAGTAGAATGAAATAACTTGTACCAAAAGATTGAATCCCATATATTCATATAAACTATTTGCAAAAATAAAATCAAACAAGCAAAGCGAGCCTGATTCTGAATTGGTGTTGTAGTTGTAGAAAGCCATACCATTGCTAGTCCAGTCTCTCAATCCAAATGACCTAAGGGTGGACTTAGCTACTGTCAAGTGTAAAGTTTTATTGGGGTTTCCCCTTGGACAACCCACCACAATGCCAGCCCTCAATCTCCACCAAACGCAAATGTATATTTTTAGTTGCTCCCAAAAATAATAATTGATAAAATATATATTTTTGTATATATATATAGCTAATACAATTAATTTCGATCAACCGACCAAAATTATATATGTTGCCCAATAGATCATTAGTAAATATTTTTTCCATGTCATAACTAGGGATTACCATGTTCTGTCTATCTAATTTTATCATTATCTTTTTGTTTATACTTAATATTTCACGTTAATTCTTCCATGCATCATTTTTTTTTTTCTTCTCATTATTTACTTTTCTTGTGTTTCCATGTTTTCTTGTCTTTCCATCAATGAACACAAGCTTGTATAATTCTTTTCATAAACCTCCGTAATATTATTGGCGCTAATCGACATCAATATTTAGGCTTTTGAGATAAAGAAGAGAAATAAAATAATATTGTGAGCTTGGAAAAGTCCACTCTAGTCATTACATTAGAAGAGAATGAGCTGTAGGGCTTGTGATACTCAAATTTCAGGTAGGCCCAAAAAACCACTAGAAAACAAAATAGAGGAAAACACAGGTATCTCATAGAGTCGTAGAGAGATATTGCGCTTAAGAAATTAAAGGTGTATGAACACCAATAGGAGGTCATATCTGAGGACTGAATTTAGAAGATGAAATTGCAACAAGTCAAAGGTGGTTTTTTATTTTATCGTTTACCTAGAAATGGCTGTTGAATTTCACAGTCTTTCCTTATTTTGGTAAGTGTTTTTCATATAACAACTAGTTCATAAAAATAAGTGATTCCGGAAATTAAACCATTGTTAAAAGAAGATACAGATTTTTTCAACACGGAAAGAAGGAAACGGTCCACGCAGTAGGCCACCACCATAAATTCTCTCTCATGTTTGAGACATTCTTATCCAGTGTCTTTCAGTATGGAAACCCTAATTATTGATTACTTTTAGGATGGACTTTTCCGACTCCTTTGTGTGTACTGTTGGTAGAATGCATTATACAGCTTCTTCTCCATTGCTTTATAGCTGCACTCTAGGTGTTACTTGACTTCTTCCCTTGATAATATATGTATATATATATATATATACTTTAGAAAGGAAAGAATTGACGTTATGCAAAAGAAGTTGCTACTTGCTACTAAACCCATATTTGTTTTGAGAGGCATTAAGAAATTTGCAGTTACTTTTATATAATATGGTGATTTGATTAAGATAATTACTCAAAATTGTGGCTATATAGAGGGAAACCAAGGTACGAGTCTTAAGACTCTGATTAAACATCCAGACTAAAAATTATTCTAGGAAAACTAAGTACGAGTCGTAAGACAATTAAATAGTTCTGGATTATAATTCTTTGAAAAATAAAAGTTAGTATAGTGACAATTTGATGGCAATACTTTTCATCCTCCGCATTTGACATAGTCGTATTACTCTTTGAGAGTAGTTTAGTTTTTTGCAAAAGTTGAAAACTTTTTTTTGGTCTATTGATTGAAGAGTAGTTTTATTTACAAAATTGAAAAGTTTCGAAATTTTTAACCAAACGCCACCTAATGTTTTTCTTGTGTTAAATTGAAGATAAACATCACGCCGACGCACGGTGCGGGTAAGCCAATTTTATTTTTTGGTAGCCTTGAGTTCTTTATTTTATATTTTTATGTTGAAAAAGATGGATCCCTTTTTACTATTGAAGTTTAAAACTTGAAAGCTGAAGGCAACGTCCAAGAAACAACAGCAACAATAAGAAAATAGGGGCAGCGGTCAATTTAGGTGACGGCAATTCAGGCACAAGATGTGATAGTGGACAGTATTTTAATCCTAAATTCCTTTTCGCCTCTTCTAACTAAGATATGGTCATGCTAATATACATGATTATTGAAATATCTTCCTTCGATTATCTTGTCTCAGATTATTATTGTTCCTAAAATAGACCCTTGATAGAGGTCAATTAGCAATTGTTTCTTAATTTGTTTCCTTGTATGTGTACTTAATGCAGGGGTGTACACGGATCGGGTTGATACGATTTTTATCAAAACTAAACCAAACCAACTATTTCGATTTGGTTTGGTTCGGTTTTGTCGGGGTTTTCGAATTTTTTTATTACATGAATATTATTTCAATCTTACTTTGTTAAATTTTTGATAATTAAATATATGTTTAGTAAAAATTTAAAAAATTGACTAACATATGATTAATTAATATATTCTTATGGGAGAATTTTCTTAGTAACATATGATTGTCATTTCTTATTAGTTGATACCTCATGGGAACTTTAAGAACCAAAATGGAGTCATGAAGCTTTAATTATTGAAGCGCTCCCAACGGTCTGTTCCGAGTTCATTTAGATCTGATTATAAATTATGTTTCAAGAAAGATCTGGTGTAGTTTTATACGGATATTGTTAGGAGATAGAGTAAAAATTGAAGTAAGTTCTTACGAGCGTATAATTTATCGACTCCACCACAAAGATTTGAAGGATTAGTTTTTCAACTTCACCATTCCTTTCGTGGGAATACAATTCGAGATGAATAATTTCAAGAAACTTATTTTCTTCCAAGAAATAGATTCAGAATTAAGGTAAGGAATGAGAAATATGAAAATAAGAGCTTGGGTTCATAAAATTTATGAAAAATGTGAAGGCCCTTTCAATTCTCTTTCTAGTATAGTTCCTCCATAAGAACACTGAACGCCCAGCTTCGCAGAGCGGCTCTCTCCCCGGCCCACAACATAGTGTGGAATCTGGATCCTTTCATCGAGCACCATTTCTTTTAGATAGAAAGGTGTTCTGACTCTATTGGATCAAGTCATAATCTAAGCCTTCTACTAGTAGACTACTATGGAGAGACTAAGTATATATAAAAATTATATACTTATATGTCGGTTTGGTTCGGATTGTTTTTAATCAATATCAAACCAAATCTAATCGGGGTTTTAATCGGTTTGATTTGACTTTTCGATTTGGTGCGGTTTTTCGATTCAGTTTGTACACCCCTACTTATGCGTGTGTGATCCGTGGTTAAATCGCAGGAGCGCCAAAAGTTCAAAATTTAAGATACTACAGCATATATTTTACTCTCATAATTGGTATCGTGATGATGTGTGGACAACACTGTATCATTAGCTTATTAGGCTTGTCTCTCAAGCTTGAGATACAAATGCTACTCTACCAGTTGTGTTACTAATCACATCAATTTGTAATTGTATAGCTAGGTTGACGCACGTTGAGTCGTGCCATATGTCTAGCTAAGGCCCTCTAATTAACCCTCAACAATTCATAGGGACAAAAAAGGACTTTGCGAGCAATGTCCCTCCTATCGAACAAGGAATCTTCCAACTAGAATTTGACGGCGGCGGACCAAAACGACCTCAAGTTAGAGAGGGAATTGAACATTACTATTTGGCCCCAAAAGATATCGGAGAAAATGAAAACTGATAATAGAGGAAAATTTGCGTGAAGATCACAGCTAATTATGACTTAATGAATAGTAGGGAAAATAACACATGTAATTTAAGTCGGAACCAACGGGTTTGTCGACAGTTCTCCACCTTTTCGATCTCTTCGATACTTGAATCTTCGTATTTTGATTCAATTTCACAGAGGGGGATCTGCACTTAAGGGATTGAGGACCTGAGGTGCTGGATGGTAATTTTGAGATCTAGAGGCACACAAAAGGAAAAGAAAACAGGAGGAGGAAAACTTTGTAATAGCTAGATTATATTGTACATAGAAACCTACCTTTTTCAGCCTTTTGGTTAGGATCAAGAAATAAGAAGGTCGGAATAGAACATCCACAGTTCATAGTTTTAAAATGATTTTTAAGTAATAATCTTTGAAATTGAGCTTGCCGGAAATGCTTTTTGTTGATGTAGAAAATGCTAGACCGTGGTATCATTTATCCCCACACTACCCTCCCCAGACCCATTTGCGGAAACTCACTAGATTTGTTGTTGTTGTTGTGGTATCATTTGTCAAGGAACATAAGAAGGGAGTATATATAATTGAAGTCATAAAATTTGAGGTAATATATTTTCTAAGTTTCGAGCTAATTAACTTTGTAAATTTTTTTAAACTTTTCAAATATTGCTAATATGATATAAAAGCGATAAATTACCATCTTAAATTTCCACACATAGGACGAATGTGGCACAGTACTTCTTAATTGATTATGCATATATACACTGCTATGTTTGTATATACTATGTTCTAAATGTCCAAGTATACACATCAATAAATGAACGTTCAAGATCTAACTTTAAGGATTTTGATAATTCGTATGTGTATCAGAGAGCGAGAGAATACTATGTGTGTGGGAGTGTGAAAAGTAGGTGGATGATGAATTGCATGATGATATATAAGATTCCGAACTAATTAAGTAAGACAATGAGAAAACATTTGATTCACTCTTCTGGCATTCAAATTGCCCTATTATTTTAATATCTTAATAAAAGACTACTACTATAGCTTTTTCCAATCCTACTTTTTAGAAAAAGCCGCTAATCATTCCCATCCCTATGTCTCTCCTTCTCCAGCTATTACAGTCTCCTTATTCTTTAATTTAATATACTTACCCTCACTCTCTCTCCCCTTGAGCTTCTATCTATCTCTCTATATATATAAACAGATGTGATAGTAATTAATATTTTCAGAGAGAAGCTTCAGCGCCTGCCACTAAACGATTGAGATCGAATGGGTAGAGCTCCTTGCTGTGACAAAGCCAACGTGAAGAGAGGACCATGGTCACCTGAAGAAGATGCCAAGCTCAAGTCCTATATCCAGCAACATGGCACTGGTGGTAACTGGATCACCCTTCCTCAGAAAGTTGGTTAGTAATCCTTGCACTCCTATATATGCCATGCCAAAATTCCAAGATATGATCTTGCTTCTCTCCGAATAATTAATTTGAGCTCAAAGGTTTAGTTTTTACTTACACATTTAGGATCGGGAAAAGGAAAGGGAGAAAAGGGTGAATTTCATCTTAGTGGTGAGCTTTAAAGTTTATATTTCATCTTGTTTTTTATCTCTTAATTAGGTCTCAAGAGATGCGGGAAGAGTTGTCGGCTTAGATGGCTGAATTACCTCCGACCAAACATCAAGCACGGGGAGTTCACTGAGGAGGAAGACAACATAATATGCAGTCTCTATCTAAGTATTGGCAGCAGGTAATAATTAGTCAATAACTTGTCGATCCTATGCATTACTCATTTCAGTTTTTAGGGTTACGCTCGAGGCTATTGTATTTATTATTCTTTGATCCTTTGTGTTAGTACTTCTCTAAGTCTATTTTTTGATCAATAATTAATAATATTTGATCAATAATTAATAATAGTATAATTTTTAGACGAAGCTTCGCCCTTGCTTCTCTTTGCTAATTTAATTAAGAGTCTTGATAGTCGTTAACATGTTAAACTTTTTCAATATCATAGGTGGTCAATTATAGCTGCTCAATTACCTGGACGAACGGACAATGATATCAAGAACTACTGGAATACAAAGCTGAAGAAAAAACTACTAGGCAAACAGCGAAAGGATCATCGGCCTCGGACAGGATACCATCATAATAATAAGCTAGAGATGATGAAGGAAAACGAGAATTTCTTTGCTAATCCAGATATAAATGCATATTATTCTTGGCCTCCCCAATCACTACTATTCTCTACACTAATTGCTCCACAAAGTGACCTGGCAGAAAGCAGTGCAAACACCCACAATTTTCAGTATTCCCTTGATCAGGTTTATTTCTGCCAAGATCAACTGTGCCAAAGCTCGACAAATCAGCTTGCCTCTATTAATCCTCTTAATATCAATACATGTGATTCTTCAGTGACAAGCAGCTATTACCCCAGCATTATTAATGGAGTTAGCAACAACAGTTTCCAAGAGTATAATAATTACGTTCCCGTTGGCCTGTCCGATAACGTGCTTAACAGTACTTCTAGTCATTCTCAACAAATGGATAAAAGTGTATTGGAAATGGTCAATAGCCGCACTATTAGCACTACATCACCAGATATTAGTACAGGCTGGGAAGAGTTGAGCCCTTTAATTGTTTACCCTCCATCAGTATCCTGTTCTGAAACCCAGCAAGAAATATCACCCTATTATGTACTTGAAGAGTCAAGATACTTGGGGTTGTTGAAGCAGTGATTATAATCTTAGCCATATATGTAACTGTAAACATATGAATTACGAAATTTGCGTTTACAGTAACTTTTTCTAGTTTCAGTCGAGTTTTCAGTGTGCCTTTTCACTGAACCTTGGAGATATGTTTGGTTTCTATTATCACTTTCATCGTTACTACATTATAAAATTCTTTGTATTTGCTCGATGTGTGCATATATTTTGTTATACGTGCTATGGTTTTCATAGACTGCTTTTGTACCTTCTCATGTGGTTGTTGTGAGTGTGGAATCCTAGAGATAGAGACCTGCAGTGCTAGTTTACATGTATGTACTTATATATCGCAAGGTCCTTTTCAATACTTGAGTTTTTGGGATATATATGTATACGGATTGATATTTGATAAATTAATAAGCTGACATATAGTTCAATTTAATACAATGTCCATTGAGTTTGAAGTGTGAGATTTGAGAACGACAAAAGCATTTCAGAAGTTCTCCTTTGGAAAAGGGAAATGGGGATCAAAGTTGGAAAGGTACTTTGAAATTTTGGCCACAACTTGATTGGCTTTAGCATGTAGGGTATCGATAAATGGCAGTTTCTTCTTAGTATTATGTTGAGTTCAATTAATACAAATAACAAAGAGCCGAGGAAGAGCTTATAATAAGGTCCGTGTCATGTTGTTCCAGCAGGAACAGAAAGACCGAGATGTCGGATATTGATTCTTCAGTTTTGAGATATGTAAAATTAAATGTATTAGCAGCACTTAGCGAAACTATCGCTTTCCAATATTTCAATGTCACCGTATCACAAGTGGTGCCTTTCAACATGAACAATATTGTACTACTTGTTTGTCCTTTGTATACGGTCGAAATCGGGCTCGACTATTGTACCCCAGATCGGGCTCAGAACGCGAAGGGTTGAACATCGACCCTGAAATTCATCGAACCAGAATACGAGGTCAGAATATCCGTCATCAGGAACATTGAGCCCGTGATCCCGGAATCGACCCTGACCCCGAATAAGCTCGAGAAAACATTGCCGGTATAAAATAACAGAAGACCGAAATAACAGAAGGCCGAAATATCCGTAGTCGATCGGATATTTCGGCGGGAATCACGGCATGTGTTAGTAAAGAACCGGCAAATCAGCAAACTAGGAGATTTTTACCTTTTATAGAATTGTATCTAAAGTAAGACTCCCCCACTATATAAAGGGGAATCTCATTACTTATAAAAGACATTGTAACATGTATCCCAAGAAAATTTATTGTTATTTCTAGTTCTTATTATCTTGTCATTCTATTCCAGCGTTGACAAAAGCATTTTTTGCCCAAGGGTGACTAACTTTCCAAGGCTAAGATAATTCAACTTAAGTGGTTTGCATTTACTTTCTCATTATTTATTTCAACTTCAATCTGATTTATCATTTTGTATCAAAGTTAGATCACGTGTCCTTAAAACCACGTACAAATTCAATTGTTATCCGATTTTGAGGGTAAACAGTTTGGCGCCCACCGTGGGGCTAAGAATAGTAGTGGTTATTTAATACAAATCTCCGTAACACACACTACTTTACACTTGCTCTTTAAAGTGTCTTTGATTCCAGGGTAAAATACAAAATGTCAAACTCTCAATCAGCACTCCTACATGTTGACAACGAGTCCGGTCATCAAGGTGAAAATAACAACATAGCGCCCGGTAATGAGGTACCGCCTACTGATCCCGTTGGAATTCCGATCGTAGATCCGATTAGCGCTAATTCACATGTGGTTGTCGACGTAAACTTGCCTACCGACCCCAAAAATAGCGTCCGTGGTGGAGCCCAATCGGCAACTCGAAACACACAAAACATTGAAGGAGACAGGATCAGTCTACGGGTGATCTTCGAAATGCTACATGCTCAATAGGCAGCGATAGCTCAGTTACAGAACCAAAGCCGTGCACCGAGTAGGGTTGAGCCCGATCCGCCCTGGGAAGTCACTCGCAGGGATGAACCGGTCATAGGAAGGTCAAATGAACATGAATCAGGAGCTAACCCCGAGATCATAAAGATGCTCGAGGAGCTGACAAAACGGATAGAATCAGGGGAGAAAAAAATTGAAGCTAATGACAAAAAGGTGAAAACCTACAATTCCAGGGTAGAACAAATCCCAGGAGAACATCCGATATTTAAAGGCTTGGATTCCAAGAAGTTCGTGCAAAAACCATTTCCTCCGAGCGCGACTCCGAAGTCAATCCCCAAGAAATTCCGTATGCCCGAAATACCTAAGTACAACGGAACGACCGACCAAACGAGCATATAATCTTTTATACATATGCCATCAAAGGAAACGACTTGGAGGACGATGAGATCGAGTCTGTTCTACTGAAAAACTTTGGAGAGACCCTGTCAAAGGGAGCTATGATATAGTATCACAACTTACCTTCTAATTCTATTGACTTGTTTGTTATGCTTGCAGATTCTTTCGTGAAAGCACACGCTGGTGCCATCAAGGTGGAGACCAGGAAATCAGACTTTTTCAAAGTAAAACAGAAGGATAACGAGATGCTCAGAGAGTTCGTGTACCCATTTTCAAATGGAACGAATGGATCTGCCACTGGTCGCTAATGATTGGGTTGTTCAGGCTTTCACTCAGGGACTCAATATTCGAAGCTCGGTGGCTTCACAGTAGCTGAAGCAGAACGTGATAGAATACCCGGCCGTTACCTGGGCTGACGTGCATATCCGGTATCAATTGAAAATCAAAGTTGAAGATGATTAACTCGGGACCCCTTCAGGGTCTGTTTATATTGTCAGAACCCTCGACAGACTCAAGAGAGACATCGATCGTGAACCGAGACCAAACAGGGATCAGTATCAACTATATAATGGAGATCGGATAAGAAGTGGCTCCGGGAGGGACTCCATAGGAAACGAAAGGAGAAATGATCGAGGTCAGAGCAATCGGGGACTCATGACCAGAAATAGTTTTGATAGGTCCATCGGGCCTAGAGAAGCGCCGAGGCTTTCGGATTTTAAATTTAATATCGATGTTGGCACCATTGTATCAACTATCGAGCGCATCAAAGATACCAAATAGCCTCGACCTTTACAATCCGATCCAACCCAAAGGGATCCTAACAAGATATGCAAATATCATGGCACTCACGGTCACATAACAGAAGATTGTCGACAGCTGAGAAAAGAAGTAGCCTGACTATTCAACAATGGGCATCTTCGAGAATTCTTGAGCGATCGAGTCAAGAATCATTTCAGGAACATGGACTCTAATAAACAGATGGAACAAGAAGTACCTCAACACGTCATTAACATGATCATCGGTGGGGTCGATATTCCACAGGGGCCGATGTTGAAACGCACCAAAGTATCCATCATTAGGGAGAAACGAACTCGAGACTACTTGCCGGAAGGAACTTTATCTTTCAACGACGAGGATGCGAAAGGGATTATACAACCTCACAATAATGCACTGGTAATATCTGTACTCGTAAATAAAATTCGAGTAAAACATGTGCTAATTGATCCAGGTAGCTCGGCCAACATCATTCGATCTAGGGTCGTGGAGCAGCTCAGTCTACAAGACCAAATCATACCTGCAGTATGAGTTTTAAGCGGATTCAACATGGCATGTGAAACCACTAAGGGCGAAATAACGTTACCAGTAAACACCGCCGGGACCATCCAGGAAATAAAATTTTATGTGATCGAAGGAGACATAAGGTACAATGCTTTATTCGGGAGGCCATGGATCCACAACATGAGGGCGGTCCCCTCGATACTGCACCAGGCACTGAAATTCCCAACACCTAGCAGATTCAAAACAGTCTACGGTGAACAACCGACCGCCAAGGAAATGTTTGCGGTCGAGGAGGTGATACCGGCATCTACAACATCGAAAGATCCGAACCAGATGGTCAAAAACGAGGCCATATAGCAATCACTGATACCATCCTCAGCAGATTCAGACGGACAAAATGAAGGTGAGGATGATGATTACGGGTTTCCGAGATCTTTTATAGCGCCCGATGATTCCGATACCACTAAATCGACGGTCGAGGAGCTGGAACAAGTCGTACTGAGAGAACGCTTGCCCGATCGAAAGGTATACCTGGGCACGGGGTTAAGCTTTGAGCTCAGGAAAAGACTCATTCAATTTCTTATAACTAACGAAAATTATTTCGCTTGGTCCCACTTTGACATGACAGGGATCCCGTCAGAGATAACCACTCACAAGCTAAGCCTGGACCCAAAGTTCCACCTGGTCAAACAGAAGAGGAGCCCCAATCTGAGATCAAACATGCTTTCATCAAGGACGAGGTATCTAAACTCCTTAAAATAGGGTCCATTCGGGAGGTTAAATACCCAGATTGGTTAGCGAACGTAGTGGTAGTCCCTAAAAAAAGAGAATGACTAAGAATGTGTGTAGATTACAAAGATTTGAATAAGGCCACGACCGGCCACGAGATCCTCAGTTTTTTTGACGCCTATTCCGGGTACAACCAAATACAGATAGACCCGGGTGATCAGGAAAAAACTTCCTTCATCACTAAATATGGCACATACTGCTATAACGTGGTGCCGTTCGGTTTAAAGAACGCCGATGCCACTTACCAACGCCTAGTAAATAGGATGTTCGAGGAAAAAATAGGAAAATCAATAGAGGTTTACATTGACGACATGTTGGTTAACTCCCTGCGAGTAGAGGACCATTTAAAACATTTACAGGAAACCTTCAGCATATTGAAGAAATACAATATGAAGCTGAACCCGCAGAAATGTGTGTTTGGAGTTGGATTAGGTAAATTCCTCGGGTTCATGGTATCCAACCAACGAATCGAGATCAACCCCGACAAAATCAAAGCCATCGAAGACATTACGATTGTGGACAATGTGAAGGCCGTGCAAAGGTTAACCGAGCGCATAGCCGCCCTGGGGCGATTCATTTCGAGGTCGTCCGACAAGAGCCACCGATTCTTTGTACTATTGAAGAAGAAGAATAACTTCTCATGGACCCCGGAATGTCAACGATCTTTGGAGGAACTCAAACGGTACTTATCGAGCCCGCCGTTGCTTCACACACCGAAGGCGGACGAACAATTGTACTTGTACTTGGCGGTTTTAGAGATAGGGGTAAGTGGAGTCCTAGTCCGGGAAGAGCGAGGTACGCAATTTCCAATTTACTATGTTAGCAGCACCGGGGCGAGGCG